AAAAGTCCCTTTTAAAAAACTGGTGATTAATCTTATGAGAGCTAAGATGGACTTATCTGTTAGAAGAATAAAGCCAGAACATTGATCAAGTTGAGCAGGAAAAAATTGCTGGCATGGAAACTATGAAGGAAGCAATACTGCAAAGTTGTACTTGGGCCTAATCTTAAGTCTACGTAAGAGGAAGCTTTGAGAAACAGTCATAGGTACAGTTATGACCAAAGCCACAATGCAATCATTAAGATTCAATCTGAATCATTATGTGTAGCTATAATAATGTAAGTTGCATGATCAATTCTACATTAAATATTATAGATAACCTCTGTGTCAGGGTGGGTTTTCTGGACACAAGCAATATTCATGTGATCATATAGTTATTTTTAGTGTACTCATGTAGGCCTCATCACTTTATCCAAGAATCTTGTAGTCAGTAAATTTATCTCTGTATCTATAAGAGAGGGTAAAAGTATATTCCTCTTTTTATGAACAGAGGAGGAGAGGAGAGCATATAGTGCTTATGACGCTTGAGTCCATGTGCCTACAACATAGTCATCTGTATGCACACTAGAAGTCTAATTGTCTTTGTGTCTGATGAAAGAAAAAAGCACTTCTAAAAAGAATCACCAAACATATCTTTGACTTTGAGTTGAATTGTGTCATCCTTCAAAACGCCCACTGGTGAATCCTACAAGTCAGAGAAGGTGGAGACCCTGGATGGAGACCTACTTTCAGCTTTATTCACCTGAGTACTTTCTCAAAACTGCAAGTATATCATATGTCCTATCTGCTATGAGTTATACAAATCCAAGGGAAATAATATCCTTTATCAAAATCAAAACAAATTCAAGTACTGTTGTGATCCTACTACATATAGTGGATGTTTACTTCACCTTATAAAATGTTTCAGAATGCCTGAGCTTTAGCAAGAGTCAGCCAACGTAACACACATAGCCATGTGTGCAGTCATAAAATGCTGAGCACTATACCCACATAATTCTTCATAGTAAGAATGGGGCTACATGTATTGAAATCCAAAAATAGTCTAGGTGAAGAACATTCCTTGTAACAGAAAGAGACAGAAAAATGGTGAGTTTCCCTAACTGCAGAACATCTCTACTGCATGGAAGTTCCAATTGTGGATATGTATTCAAATTCCCCGCAACTGTAGGATATGGATGTATAGAATCATATAATGATTTAGGTGGCAAATGACCCTCAAGATCATTAAGTCCTGCCATTAACCTAACATTACCAAGGCTACCAGTAATCTACACACCTTCATGTGACATACACGTATCTCTTAAATACTGTTAGAGATGTTGACTCCACTAGAAATACCTCCAGGGATGGCTACTTTTTCTTCTGTAGTTTCCTTCAGAAGGAACACTAAGAGGAGAGGCTCAGAGCCTAGTCAGTTCTTCCTTGGTTTCTGGGAATCAGAAATACAAAGCATACAGTGGACACACGTCAGTTCCCCGTCCTGCAGGTACACTACAGTCGAGAACAGTACAGGAACAGCTTTCCATGACAGGTTAAGCTGCCTTTTTAAAAAACAATGTTGAATAAAAGGAGAAATCACAGCAGATCTATTAACTATATCTCAGGAGAATCACACAAAAATTGCTGCGCTGCAATATTTTGGTGATTTTTCAAAACAATGTTGTGAATATATACAACTTTTCCTCTGATTCAACAGAAAAAAAGCAGCTATAAACTGTAGTTTTTACTGATTAAATGCCCTGGCAACCTTTCCTATCTAAAAATGATTCATTACCCAGGTAATAATATTGCTTTAATTACACATGTGAGAAAATATCCAAGGTAGCAGCCCACTTGATCATTAAGTTCTGTAAATACATCAGCATTTAAAACACATTAGTATTTGAATACCCCTATCTGATTCGGGAGCATGGTAAAAGTAACTTCCTGTGAGAAGTCAGTCTTTCAACTTGTAAAGTAAGCAAAAGCCCCCTAGAAAAGTATCTCCTTATCAGAATGAACTGCAGAACAAATTTGTTTAAGTATCAGGAAGGCTGAGTCAGAAGAGTTTGTGTGTAAGCAAACTAAATGACTTAAACTAGACAGATGACAAAAAGGTCATTAATGGGCATATCCAACCATTTATGGCAAGGTTTTAACACACATAAAACAAATAAATTATTTGAAAAACTTCAAATTCTGCAGGTGACTGGGAGAAATAAGGGTGACAAGATACTGTCTTTTTAGGTAATGTAAGCTCTAGACTTGTAGGCATTGTTGTAGTAGACTGACTGTTATACCTAGCGCAACAGAATTGGTGTACCGGAGGAGACAGCAACATTTGCAGTTTGAGGTGGATATTCTGCTTGTTCTAATATGAAATGTGGTCTCCTGCTAAAATTTGGCCTTGCTTGGATCTCTTTGTAAGTACAACTGAAATGGTGAAGCTTCTTTATAATTTTTTGGACATATAATAAACGTTAGGGATAGGAAACATGATAAGTTTTTTCCTAATTGAAAATCTAAGAATGTATTTTGATGTGCTTATCTAATATGACCTGCATACCTCAAATAAATAAAACTGCAGCATTGTTGCTTTAGAAACACAGTTAAAAAAAATAAAATAAAATCAGAAATCCAACAATTCCTAGGAAATGTGGCTGAAATAATTACTCCAAAACCCAGAAGTCTTCAGAATCACCGAATCCTAAAAAGACATGAAGACACAAACTTTGGTAACAAAAGTTTTATTTCATATAAGTGAAGTATTTTTCATTTGTCTGCCTACAGAAGATTTACAGCTGAAACAGAACCAGCTTTTTTCATAACTTACAAATTTGAAGATAATTAATTTGACTGAAATAGTACTGTAGCAGATTGTTGTGATGTATTTTTTTGAAGACAAGCATTAATAAAAATAAAATTTAGAACAATAAAATCCTAGCTTGATGTTATTTCCTGAAGGGGACCTGAATATAAAATACAGCCAAGAAAGAAGTGATACTGAAGTGAACTAAATAATGCTGTCTAACGTGATGCATAAAGGGGAAAAATATTACTGTCTTTGATCCCACTTGAAATCATTTTCTTGTAACAGCCAGGATGCTGTTGCCCTCTCTGCTCAAGGAACACATGGCTAGCTCATGCTTGACATCTTGTCTGCTATGGTCCCTTTGGATCTTTTCAGCAGAGTTGCTCCACAGCCAGACCCCTCATTCTTCCACTAGTACAAGATTTGTCCTTGGTTATTACAAATCGTAATACCTTCCCAGGCTAAATTACTACAGTATTCTCTAATTTTAAGAGAAATATTTAAGTAATTTTCCATGAAAAGATTGGCTTAGCTGTCTCAACACTGAAACACTGGAGCATCTGTTCACTTAGCCAGAAGAAGTCAACTGTCAACCAGTTGCTTCCACCAGTACTTCTGAACACATTCCATAGAGGGAGCAGAACTCATCTACACCTCCTGCTGTCATTCACACGAAACTACACAGTATTTCTGCTTCCATCTACATGGGAGAAAGGGCTTAAAAGTTGCCATTACAGCTGAAATTAAGGAGCACTAATGGCTTGTCAGCCATGTTCAGGGCAAGAGAACATAGATATCGCAGAAGAGGATTGAGAGGAGTTGGTTTACCCACCTTGGTGAAGTAAACAATGAGAGGGAGTGTTTTCTACAAATCATGTATGATGAATATATGAAAAAAATAGATAATGAAACAGTACTTCATAAGAACAAAGGACTAAATTTTAGTTTAACAAGTGGAAAGATTCTAAATGCGGAAGGATTAGTGCGCTGTGACAAACTTTCAGTTACATAGCAGAGGCAAGGGATTCAACTGGTTTTAAGAGACTGATTTATGAATGTTATTATTGATGATATCAGCCAAATTGATGACTCAGAAGATCTCTTTTAGATTTATGTTGCTCAACATTTGCATCATTACTTTTTTTCTTTTTTTTTTAAGTAGTTACTGAGCAATATCAAGTGTGGTATTCCAATTATGAATTAAGCAAATATAAACGACAGAATGTTAACCTTACTAACAATTAACTGAACTATACTGACTGCAGCTGATACACAAATGATGTTATCCATCTAATTTGCCCAGACTGGAGTAGCCTTATTCTCAGACATGTTTAGCAAGTTGTGTGGTAATGTACACTTGAATGAAACACTCTTTACTAACATGTTCAAATCACAAAGTTGTTATTGGAATTGTAAATAAGTTACATTCTAACACTATTTTCTCTGAATATCATTTTCTCTTCTTTGCAACCATCCTTGACAGACAATCAAACTGCAACAAGTCCAAAGGATGTTTGCACAAATTGAGCAAAAGAAATGTCATATAATTAAACAAGAAAAATGTGCAAAAAATCATCCTGATGAAGCAAGCTGAACTGAACTCAAAGCATATAAGTTGCTGCTGGGTAGGAAAGAACAAGGATTATGGAGAGAGAGAGTTCACAATAGAATTCTTTTAATAAAGCAGAAAAGGGAAAAATATATTTTTAAATGTTGTATATTTAAAGCCCAGAACTGAAAAATATCTGATAAAATCGGTATAAAATATCACTAGATCTTGACTAGATCTTCAGGGGCAATACTTTTTAGAGTTGTAAAATGAAGAAGCTAGTGGTTCTCTGCTCTTCTGGTCACCTTACCCAGGGCATAAGAGAATTTGGACAGCTGGAAAAATAATGTATGATGAAGGAGCAGTTGCCTCAAAAGTAGTATGCACAGCCTTGGTAGAACAATGTATTGATTGCACATAATTGATAATACACCCTACCAGTAAAAGTCTTAGTGTGGTGCCCACCTTCCACTAACCTACCACCAATTTCTCCAATGTCACAGATATTTATGTGGCTTTCAGGAGCACACGATCATTCATACAATTGTGTCTCCGAACAGTCATCATTTTTCTGAGAGGATGACATATCAAAATAGGACAACTATCTATACAGTCTCTACAAAGCAAGTATATTAGTGAAGCATACAGCAAAACTTTACTTACATTCGAACACAAAACAACAGAGTACGAAAGATTCAGTTCTCCATAGACAGATGAGGGAAGGCTGACTTCCTGGTCTGTGTTTCCATCCTCACCTGTAGGTAACACCTGCAGTCAATAAAAGTAAAATAAATGTGAAACTACCTGTAATGTAAACCAATCTTGCTCCAAAAGAAAATTATTTTTATTATAAAGGATGAGAATACAGTACTTTTAGTCAAGGTACAAAGGTATTATTGAAGATTAAAGAAACTCTGAGAAAAGACTAAGTCATCAGACAGTGTTGCCAGATCTTCTTCCACTTGCAGAATAAAAAAAAAAAAAAAAAAACACAACAAAAGATAGAATTTCTACAAGGTCTTGAAATGCTATCTGAAAGGATTATATATAGGGAAGAAGAGACAGAAAGCTTTTAAAACTGTGGAACTGTTGACAGAGAAGCATATGAATAAAAGATTTCCTGCTCTTTGGATGACCCCAGTGTTTAGGTACAGGGTAAACTATATAGTAAAACAGGATTTGCAATAGAAAAATCTAAAAAAAAAAAAAAAGGAGTTTAATTTGACTGTGTGCAGAGGATTTCAAGAAGGATGAAGGTATGAATAAAAACAAGGGATACTTTGTAGTAACCTTGAAAAGTACCTTATATCCCATGTTGCCTTGCTGATTTTTCTAGCATGACTTGCATTTTTAAAAGCTAAGCTTTAGGGACAGTACTATCTTTTTTGTTTTACAACTTTTTTGTTGTTTTTTTTTCATCCATGCTACGTATAAATTCAAAACAATTTCATGTTGGTATATATACTATGGTAAAGTTCTGAAATATGTTTTCTTTCTACATCCAAAATGTAATTCCTTGTTAGTAAATTCCAGGTAAGTACATGTCATTTTCAGATTCTCTAGTTAAAATAAAACAAATGAAGAAGACGAAACAGAAAACTAGCTTCACCCAAGACATCATTCTTTGCTCTGCTTTTTACTTTACTAGAAACCTTATGGGCCATACATTGTGCTTCCTCATGGAAGAAAATGACAACACAGAAAATCACTTCTAGACACCTGGGATGAAAATAGCTCCCCTTATTTAGATACAGTAGGACTTTAGTCAAGACCAGAGATTCTTACAGTCTAAATTGTAGGTCTGCTGAGGCATTATATTCTTTATTGATCTTATAAACTGCAGTGCATGCAAAATAGAAAGCAGTAAAATTATTAACCCATCAGTACTTTTTTGTCCTCATAAGTGATACTGCTGCACCAGTATACAAGATTGATTTTGACAATATCAGAAATGAGAGTGTTTTATTTGCTATTTATGTACATATAAAAGTAATCCTCATATGCATATTTTCATACATCAACCATGGATCAGAAATGCACTGTTTGGCTAATTGGGTAGGAAAAATGCAGCACGTGTAATGGCACAGCCTCTCCCATTGGGGCCACTATGAAGGCACATAAAAATCATCAGCTGTACTGAAGTGAGGATGAAGCCTAGAAATGGATCTGTTCACAAAGTCCCTCTGTGCCTCTCCCTACCCTTGCTTATCTATGCAAGGTAAATTGGTCTCTCTATCATTAGTGATTAGGAAAAGACAGAGTCTCTATGGCAAGCACACACTTCTTTATATACCTCTTTCAGTTCTACATTTTCAGAACTCCCTTACACACTTAATCCTATAGCCATTAGTAAGGCAATGAAATGACATAAAATGAACAAAGAGCAATAAAGTAATCATATCCTAGCATGTTTATTTAGTTGTGGTCCTTAATGACTGAGACCTTCGTACCCAGTGATATCAGGAGCTGCTACTAAATTTCCTCTGACTCAAATCCCTAGTTAGGATTATTGTTTGATATGCTCAATGCATTAAAGCCTGCCTCACACAAACCATGAAAGCAAAACAAAACAAAGAATCGGAAAAACACTTCACAGAAAGGAAGATCAGTTGTATGAAAAGTTTTTTAAATTCAGCCAAAACTCATTTTTTTTCAAAGCAATACTTGAAGAATAGGTGTGGGTTAAGAAGCTGGGTTAAGAACGAATCCCAAAATCACAGAATGACTTGGGTTGGAGGACACCTTAAAGAGAGTCTAGTTCAAATTCCCTTGCTGAGGAGGGAGTTGCCACTCACTGATCAGGTGCCCAGAGCCCCATCCAGCTTGGTCTTGAACACGTCCTGGGATGGGGCATCTACAACTTTTCTTGGCAACCTGTTCTAGAGTCTCACCATCCTCTGAGTAAAGAGCTTCTTTTCAACATCTAATCTAAATCCCCCTTTTAGTTTAAAACCATTCACCCTTGTTCTGTCGCTAGCTATTCATGTAAAATGTCAGTCCCCAAATGGTAGAAGTGGACAACAAGTAGGTTCAGGCAGCACTTCTGCTGTCCACACTTTGAGCAAACTGGATCTGACACAATGCAAAATCTGCATAGCTGCACTGAGATTGTGTTAAAATGTGTTAACGTGGGCCTCGGTCTTTAAGTATATTGTCAGAATTAGGAACATAAAAAGGCTGAAACATCAAATAGCAGTAAGAAACATATTTAAAAACTTGTGAATGAATCTGATGACCACTCAGGCTTTCATCTCCTCAAAATACAACTTTGACAAGCAGTCAAATTTAAGCTGAACTAGCTATAGCATACTGTGATTACTTTTCCAGTCACTGCTGTGTCGATCTAAAATCCACTCCTATTAAAATACCACATTCTTTCAAGAGCTATAGTTACATATTAACTATTTAAGACTAGTTTCCTCTATCTTTACTTTGCAATTTATGGTATTGTTTAAGAACTGTTAAAAAACATTATTGCCAGAAGGGGACATTGAGATAATCCGCCCTGATTTCTGACTAGCACTGAAAAGTGCTATGTAATCCAGTTATTCTTAACAGGGAGCATGTGCTTGTCCTTTGGGAGAACCCATTTTGATTTTAAAATGATCAACAATCTACAAAAAAGTCCAGTGAACCATTACAGTCCAGTGGTTAGTCACAGTCAAAAATGCAGTCTGGATTAAAAAAAAAAACAGTAACATAGTTCCACTTATTTCTAGTTTCACCTTTTAACCATTCCTAGCTTGTTAATTTCTCTATCTATATACCCACCTATCCACTTATCTATGAAAATTGCTCTATTTTATCTTTTTAGAGTTGCCACTTCTTCATGAAAAATGTCTGCAGAATCACTTTAGATTCACCTCATGCTGTGTGTTTCCTTCCCAACATTTCCCCCTTTCTTCTTTCCCTGTCCCCCTTGTTTATTTTCAATTAATCTCGTCTCGCCTCATTTTATTTAAGTAATTCCCTATGTATTAAAAACAAAAATACTGTATGTAATGAAGCCAACATGTCTTTAGATTGGTATTGAAATTAGAGAAATTCTTTCACTGAACCATTTTTCAGGATAAAAAATTCCAGAACCTGGAAGAGATCTTTGTTGAATTGCTTACTACATCACAATGAGATGTGAGTGGATTTCCACTTCTTCTTTAAAATATTCCTAACAAATGTTTATGAAATGCCTGTGAATATGCAGTTATGCATTTTCTGTGGCAACTTTAGTAGGACTGGTCTCTGAATCACTACTTAATTGGAAAATCTGGGATTCTTTTTAAGTAGTTTCGGAGGGTTCAAACTGCATTTTGCACTGCTATACTTCACACTTGTTGCAATGCTCCTGCTGTCCCAGTCTCTCCTAGACTTTTTTAGAGATATTTTATCAGAGAATATTTTTCTGCAGATTTCAGCAGTGTTTTGACTCCAGAGTGTTCAGGGAACCTGGCCTCTTTCAAACTGGGATGAGCTACACAAATGTCTAAGTCCAGTCATAAATTACCAATTGCTCAGAACAAATAAATTACCTGACCAAGACAGCATGTGAGAAGTATTAATATTGTAAGCAAAAAGATACAACAGGTTTTGTTTACAGAAGTAAGTGCACATGATACAGAGAAAAGGCATATAGCTTGGAAACATTCTTCAAATAGCATGCTATATATAGGAAAGTTGGTCAAAAACTACTGAGAAGAAAAAAAATTTCCTTTTGTATTTGAAATTTCAAATGATCGAATAGTATGTTTCAGTGAAAAAAAAATGGCCTGCTGGAATAAAAAAACAATAAAGAAGATCTACATGTTGAATTATTTCACTGAGTCAGAATCCAAAGTAGAGCACTATGTATAAATCACATCATTTTATTCAAAAAGCAAGGGAGAATAAAACATAGAAGAAAACAAAACAAAATAAACAAAACAAAAAGAAGAAGAAAATATTGGAAGAAAAATAAAAATAGTGCCCCTTTCAGGATGATTGATTTCTGTGCAATCCATATTTTACTCTCTGCTACATAATTTTATACTCTTGACAAAATGTCACACAATTGGAAAAGGGCTAGGAAAACATATGCAGCTTTCTATCAACTTTATGCCTCCCTAAATTTAGAAGATTTCTCTGAATAGGGAAACTAAAAATAAATCAGGAAACAATGGCAATAATGAAGTCTGAATTATCCAGCAGTAAAAAACATGAAAGTATTTTTAGTATATTTAAATAGAACATTCATAACATAAATAGTGGCAATGAAACTTGACTGTCAACAAGAAAAAAAACAAGTGATCTGTAGCTGACTTCTGTAGACGACGTTTTCTTTTTTTTTTTTTAAATGACATTGCCTATATGTACTGTGCCTTGTTTACTTACATGTTTAAACTATTGTAAGAATTCACTGTTAGAATGTGGCCAACATGTACTTTACCTAATCTTAATAAGAAAAGCTGACACTGAAGTTGGATAAGCAAATATATTCACATTTATAGTTACAATTTTGTTTCCAGAATGAAACTCTGGGCCAATTTAACCAGATAATGTAAACAAATTAACAAGATACGTAGAAAAATTAATATCTATAGACAATTTGGGTTTCATCACATATACAGTGCATTTGCACATATATACAAGAGAGAGAAGGCAATTTAATTACAATTCTAAGAAATTATAATCATTAAAGAAATCTTCATATCTTTAATGAAATATGCTGATAAATTACGTAATTATAACAGATATATTCCTGGATTTTCTAAGAGGAAAACTTTTTCACAACTCTGTAAGCATTCACAATATTAATTCTTCAGTCACTACAGTAATATCATCAGAGATACTTGACAAGAATGCTACTATGCAAAAACTAAATGTGGTTGATATAGAAAAGTTTTTCTGAAAAAGTATATGTAAAATAACAGCGGTTAGAAAGAAAAAGAAGTAAGTTGGTCGTCAAAATAAATGTTAGTTAGTTGATTAATAATGTTCATATTTGAATTAAAGTTAAAAAAAAAAAAAACCTTTAGAACTTTAACAAATAAAATTATATTTCTGACTAGCTCTAATGATGTGTGCAACACTGAACCCAGACTGAGATTAACACCCATTTCTGCCAATTTTTCAACACTTCTATGAAGTTACACAATTACTCTGACTAAAGATGGTCCCAAGTTACAGTAGGGTCTGGCCCACATGCCCAGCTAGCCAGTAAGATTTTTTTTTCTTGTGGGGACCTTGTGACCAGTGAGAAGCAAAACAATCAACGAGACTTCACTCAAGCTCCTGCAATTCTTTATCATTACCCTCTCATGTCTATCTTCTTGTTTCTTATCCTTTTCAATCTTACTAGACTTTTATTTCCTATGTCAAAGAGCACAGATTTTTGCCACTCACTTTGACGAGTTCATCAGTGAAACCACTGCGGGTCAGAGGCATGCAAAAGTGAATGGTGCTGCTTGTAGCACAAGCTGTGTTAGAGTTTTCTCAAGCCACTCTTCTTGATTTTCCAACATGCCTGTACTAAACTAAACAAATATTTTCACACAATAAACTTCCAATATTTAACTGAAAGTAGTCATAAAGTATACCAATCAGTAACCAAATCCACACACAAAGCGTACAAATTATTACAAAGCAGCACTACATCTGCAACATTAGCAATACACATTATCTTCTAGAAGGTACTGAGGGACAAAGGACACAGGCTTTTTCAGTTTCACGTAAAGAAAATGAACCAGGGTTTTTATTTAAAAAAGAGATGGTGAGGAAAGCTATCTAAAAATGTTAGTTAGAAAAGACAATTGAGTCTAAAGGTACATCTAGAAATAGCAGCTCGCATGAGCATGAGAATGATCTTCAGATAATGGCTCGATGACATGTCTGATGGAGAAAGTTAAATTTTATTCAGATCAACAAAATATTTTTTTTCAATTTCTAATGCCCTTATGTCTGCAATTGTTTTATGCCATAAAAATATTCATTAATGTGTTTATAGGCAACCACTGATTTTACTTGAAACATTCCATTAACTATTGGAAGACATAGTATAGAAAACATTGTGCAAATCCCTAGCAAGTATACAGGAAATTACATAAAATTAGGTGAAATTAGATGAAATGAATAGATATAAAAAGACTGCAATATACCAGCCTAGCAGTGTTCTTCCCATAGAGAACATTCTGTCCCAGGCAGTTCTCAACAGTAAAGAAGCAGACAAGAACAGAAATCTCAGTCCCGTTGGAAAGTCGTCATCTCAGCAAAACAGCATTGAACAAACCTACACAAGAAGAATACGCAAACAACAGACCAGCAGAAGATTGAGTAGTCCCATAAAAAGATACAGAGATTTCTCAGTAATATTCAGGCACCATGAGATGTATTTATATATGCACTGCAGGAAAACCCATGGCTCTTGGTAATGGCTAGCCTCATCCTGCCAGGAACCAGCAAGTTAAAATGTGTGACTTTCAGCTGAAATACTAAATGAGAGAAGGACGAGATCGCTAATGCTCAGAAGAGGGTGATAAAGAGCAAGAATCTTGTACAGTGACTTCAAACACACACAGCTGCAGTGCTCAGTGTAATATTGCTTTAAATGTGAAAGAGAACTGTGAACCATTATTTTTATGGTAGTTTTGTCCTGTACCTTTTTGCTGTCAGTCTGGAATTTCAGTTTACAGACACAGGATAGGGATGGTGTATTTCACTAGATGCCTGTTAGAATCTTTTGATGCATAAACCCTTTCGAAAATCTGACCATAATCCTAAGTACTCCATAGAGAAGCATGATGGCAAAAGTTCGTTTTTGCTACTCCATTGTTGTCTTGAACTCATCAGCTGTCAATTAACTGTAAATGATTACAGCAATCATATGTGCTTGTGGGCAAATCATAGAGCTCAGTTTCAGGTGTAAATGAAATCTGTTTTACGAAATATGTTCTTTTAAAGTACAAACAACTGCTTAACTTCAAATAATGCCTTTTTTTTTTTTTTTAAGTTTAATAAACATATCCTGAATAAGAGCTCGTTTGCTTTCCTTTGCTCTTTTTCTGCACAGATATGAATTTCATGAGAAATGTATGCAACTAATAAGTCTAAAACAGATATATGATAAATTTTGATTTTAATGTTTACACATCAATTGAAATAACTGAAATAATGTAAAATGTTTTCAATTATGAACTAATGCTCTTTTTAAAAAATTGGTTTTCATCTATCTGAACTGCACACAACTGTGTATCAGTCACATTCTGCTACACTAAGACAACATAGCCAGTAGCAATTGAGAAACACATTATACATGGCACTTAGTTTACCATGAAATTCTAGATGAGTTAATGATAGATAATGGCCTACAATTCATGTGTGACTTATTTTAGCAAATCTCACTGATACAGCAATTCAAGTGAACTGCATCAAGGCTGCACTAAGTATAATCAAATGGGCTTGCAGGAAAAAAAAAATCAGCAAAAAATTACAAAACACTTAACAGAAAAGAAAGTGACATACTCAGAAGTCCCATGGAATCAGTACTGTCTGACTGTTTTAACACATCTGTTCTATTAACGTTTCCAGTGCAGTTTGTGGAGAACAGAACTCAAGTGTCATGTGCCCTTACCCAAAGGAGCATTATCCTCTCCTTACCCAAAGCTTTTGAAGTAGTTACAAAAACCTGCCCAGTATCACTGTCATGGCTGCCATCCTGACTGACACAGAAATGACATGTAAAGGGTGCCTTTGCAAATCCTCTTACATCTTTCTAACTGGCTTACAAGATCCACATCCAATACTCGTGATTTGGATGCACTATGGAGGTACCCAATAGATTTGCAACTGCAAAAAACTTCACTACCTTGTGAATCAAGGCCTTTCAAGAAGCCATGAAACAAACTTCATTGCGATAAGGCCTGAAAAGGCAGCGGATCCTTGCTTCCTTCTCACCAGGACAGGGCAGGAGCTATGACAGTTGTTCGCTCTCAGGATGGGACAGTACTGAGAGAAGGAGGCAAGGAGCACAAAGCACCAAGAGGCCAGATGTGACGTTCTAGTATTTTGATGCAAGAGCATAACAAACATAGAATAGTGAGACAGATCAGTAAATATAAATCATTCTGTGAAAAGATCATTGAAAGAATAACATCTTAAAATACCAACTTGTGAACAGTGTGCTATTTTATCATGATAATTTGTGATAACCTCCTGTGGAAAAATCTGAAACAGGTGAAACAGAAAACATCCTTAAGATAGAGCAAGAACAGTGGATTTCCAGCTCCTACTGCTGACATTCCCCATGGACAACGGAGCCAGTCTCCTCGCCGCTGAGAGCAAAGAAGTCAATGTGGCCAGCTTGGGCTCTGGATGGCAGCTCTCTCTGCAACCACTAACAACCGAATCAGTGATAAGGAACTTCTTTAAAAATGAGAAATCCACTCTATGAACAAAAAGCCATTGATATTCACAGATAATAGATGCTGGAGCATGGTCAACAAAAGACTAGAAACATGTCTAAGTCTTAACAACTGGTAATGTTCATTTGTTCAGGAAGGTCCATTTTTATAGGGCATGTCTTGTTTCATTTTGATGGTACCAGAAATACTAAAACAAAGAGAAGCAAAAATACACACACAGAAAACCAAACGTATCCTAGAGAAACAAACAAAAAAAATCTTTGGCTATGAAAAATACAAATAAAAAGTCTTGAAGTATGTGATCAGGCCCAAAAGGCATTGGAGTAAGGTTTGCTGTAAGAAAACTAGCAAAAGTAGCCTATTTCCAAAACAAAACATAGCCTGAAGTATTTTCATCATAATTTTGTTTTCTCATCTATCTTTATTTACCCAATAGAAATACAAATTTGTGTAACTGTGTACATATAAAGACTTCCTCCACAATTATACTGTTGCCACAATACCTGAGTATATACTTTTTAAGTAATAAGCAACAATAAATAACTATCTAAAGCTGATTTACTGATTTCATTCAACATTACTTGTTCATTCTTTCCATCTAAAAATAAATAAAAAGAACAGAAATATTATTGCTCTTCTGCTACTTTCAGTGGCTTTGGTGGAAATCCACACAGAGCTTTTTAGATTCATTTCTTAGAAGTTACATGGAGCTCGACATGAATTAGCTAGTTCAAACAAATAAGAGCTCTAAACAAATGTCAACAATGATAGCAATGGCCACTTCTCAACAAGAAGAATGTACTTTATCCATACAAAGAAATTAAAGCAGAGTTGGAACTACCTTGTCAACAGCAGTTTCCCTATGAGAAGTGTACATCAAAACTAATATACCATTTCTTCCAAGACTTTCACCTCCTTCACCCAAAGAATCATCTGTAAGAATATGTGTAACAGTGCCCTCTGGTGATTATGTGCCTAAGGAATATTCTTTCATTATAAGGGCAAAGAGCACAAATCTGTGGCAGGGCTGGTAAGTAATTTTGGCAGTTTTGCAAACTGAATTCTGTTACCAATTCTCAAAAATTGCAGTGAAGAAATCAGGTATTTGCAACTGGTTTATGCCTATGGTTTTAAATGCAAATTCACATGAAGAAAGAGACAGTAGCCTTGACTAGGTTAAGATTTATGGGTGCTATAGACAGCACAGCTACTTTTATGGCTAAGAATGTAATAGATCCTAAGCAAACACTGATAAGTCCTCTATTCTCCTAAGAAGTATCCGCCCATCAAGTGTCCTGACACTGGAAAAACCCACAGTTTTGATAAGAATAAAGACAAGCTAACTGTAGAAAATAACTTCATTTCTTAAGTTAGCTGAAAACATTTATCAAGTGTTTGGTGGGCAAGACCAGGGTCTTCTTCCATTATTGGACAGTGATCACTGCATTTTCAATCCTACTGCAATAGATACATAAGCAAAACATATATTAACACATAAAGTATGTTTTATACATATCTATTTACTGTGAGGGTGACAGAGCACTGGAACAGGCTGCCCAGAGGGGTTGTGTAGCCTCCATCTCTGGAGGTATTCAAGACCCACCTGGATGCTTTCCTGTGTAATCTACTGTAGGGAGCCTGCTTTAGCAGGGAAGTTGGGCTAGATGATCCCCAGAGGTCCCTCTCAACCCCTATGTTTCTATGATTCTATGACGTATGCGTATGTATATATATGCATATAAAATTAAAATATTGGAGAGACTCATTATCAAGCAAAGGAGTAAAATTCTACTTTCGCAAGATTTAAGCCAACCAAGACTTTAAACCAACAAAAGGTTCTGCAGTAATAAAAAAAAAAAAAAAAAAAAAAAAAAAAAAAAAAAAAGCTGATACAAAAGTACACTGGTTGAGGCCTGAAAATACCACTCTAGTCTTAGTTTATTACCTCCTATCTGGGGTGAAACTAAGGGCAGATTTACTGGGAGTGTTATACTACCTCATTAGTACCTCCCAGTAATCACATACACTCCTTCTCTCAAGGTACCATGGCAGTTACTTCTAGCCTCTGTAACATAACCTAAACCGCAGCAGTGTTCCTGTAAAGGCAGTAAAAATTAGGGAAGTTATCACAACTGTTTGTTTCTCTAATGTTTGTAAGAGATATAAGAGATTCTCATAAGAATAAGAAAGGGAACTTTATGAAATACTGTCCTAATAAACTTATCTCTTATAATGATCCCTTTTCTCACTCGTATTAAATACCCCTCACCACTCTCTGAACACGGTGACTAATTAACTTCATGTTTTTTAAGAAAGGAACCTGGCAGTCCCATGGGGTTGTTTAACAAATAACCAGCTATCTTCTGAGGATTTTAAAGAATCACTTCCAGCCAAGTTTTTTTGGGCCACGTATAAATACTAGCAAGTTGCAGCAAGAAGTAAAGGAGGAGGAAAGAGATAGAAAAATTACATCAAAAAACAAAAAATCAGATTTTTCATTATTTTTCATTATTCATATAGCTCATCAATCAATTAATAGATCATCATTATTTTTCAGTATTCAATCCTTTTACTATAGTTACTGTGATGGTTACACTGGACATTGTAGGCCCTGTTTATACTATATGGCTCTTCGAAGTTAAGCATTTGCTTCTTCTAACACCTGAAAAACATCCAGCTATCCGCTTACCCAAAACAGAGGCACTGGTACTTTTCAAAGAGGACATGTTAATTAATTTTGTAGAATCACAGAATACTCTGAGTCAGGAAGCACCCACAAGAATCATCAAGTCCAACTTCTGGCTCCACAGAGAAGACCACCCAAAAACCAGATCATATGATAGAGATGCTTCTTGAACTTCAGCAGCTT